AGCATAACAGCATCACGTTTTCACCCCATAACAATGGTTTGCATGTGAACAGATACGCGTGTGGAGGTTGGATAGAAGAGAACGCCTACAGAACTGGCCTCGAGGAACTGTTCTACGGAGTCAACCACAACAGTCTGCCCGAGAAAATCGACCTTACTATCAGCGGTAAGACTCGAGATTAGATATTCTTAGTAGACATGATGACAGATTTACACATACAGATAGATACACACACATATATGTATGTGTGTGTGTGTTTGTGTATGTGTGTCTGTGTGTGCGTGTATCTGTCATCTACACGTAATATCAAACTGTGAAGTCAAGACCATTACCATATCTCCTACACATATTCAGATACGATTTCTATCTCCAATATAATGTCCTCTATACCAAGGTCTATATAAGTACCTTGCTCTATACTGCCTCTTCCCCCCCCCCCCCTCTCCTGAAGCTAAATCTAAACGTAAACAAACCTTCCAGAGCTTTTGAAGAGACGCATACCAATAGATAGTGCACTCTTGGACACCAAGCCATACCGGGATCTCTTTGCTTTCTACGACACGTGCATGGAGGTGGCCACAGAGGAGGACGACATGCAGCCACGTATGTTGGGGGTGATTCTGTATTGTGTGTCTGTGTGTGTGTGTGCGTGTGTGTGTGTGTGTGTGTGTGTGTGTGTGTGTGTGTGTGTGTGTGTGTGTGTGTGTGTGCGTGTTTGTATACATGAGTTCAAGGTGTGTGTGTATATTCACGTACTGATATAATCTTTATTTCTTTTCTTTTTTCTCTCTCATGTACTTTGTGTTTATCTTTACTTCTCTCTCTATCTGTCTATCTGCATATCTACTCTCTCTCTCTCTCTCTCTCTCTCTCTTCTCTCTCTCTCTCTCTCTCTCTCTCTCTCTTCTCTCTCTCTCTCTCTCTCTCTCTCTCTCTCTCTCTCTCTCTCTCTCTCTCTCTCTCTCTCTCTCTCTCTCTCTCTCTCTCTCTCTCTCTCTCTCTCTCTCTCTCTCTCTCCTCTCTCCCTCTCTCTCCCTCCCCTCTCTCCTCTCTCTCTCTCCCCCTCTCTCCTCTCCTCTCTCTCTCCCCTCCTCTCTCTCTCTCTCCCCCCTCCGTCTCTCCTCTCTCTCCCTCCCTCCCCTCTCTCTCCCTCTCTTCTCTTTCTCTCTCTCTCCCCTCCCTCCCTCCCACTATCCTATCCCCTTCCTTCTCTCCCTATCCCTTCCCCCTCCCTCAGGCGATCCGAGTATCTCAACCCTTCTCCCTCCAGTGCTCGAGGTCCTGCTGAAGCTCAAGCACTTCCATGTGGGGCGGCCGTTCGAGAAGGAGTCTTGGAACCTCACCAACGCCATCCTCGAGCTCATGCGCCTCAACGGGGTCCCTCTCTTCGACGTCCTCATCGACGCGGATATCAGGAATTCGAGCAGGTTCGCCATTATCATAGCTCCCCCGCGGCGGTACGGACTCATCCCTCGCTGGTTGGGCCGACACTGCCCTCCAGACGGGCGGCCGGACCTCGAGAAGGTAGGGAGGAGTGGGGGGGTGGGGGGGAGGGGGGAGGTGGTTTTGCATGCTTGCTTGGTTTTGCTCTGTTTAGTTATTTGTTTGTTGTTTCCTCTTATCATTATTTTTTACCATTATATTTTTTTATTTATTATTATTATTATTATTATTATTATTATTATTATTATTATTATTATTATATTATTATTTATTATTACTATGATGATTATTATTATCATTATTATTGTTATTATTATTATTACTTGTATCATCATTATCATCTTTATTATTGTTTTCTTTTTTGTTATTATTACTTTCACTATTATTACTGTTCTTTTGTTATTATTATCAATATTATCATTTTAATAATTGGGATATTTATCATTATATCTATTATTTCCTGTATTATCATCATCAATTGTGATCATCATTATCATTATCAATATATATAACAATATCATTATATTATCAATAAATAATCATTATCAATAACAATATCATTATGATTATCAATAACAATATTATCAATAACAATCATTATCATTAATAACAATATCATTATCATTATCAACATTATCATCATTATCATTATCAATAACAATATCATTATCATTATCATTATCATAGTATCTTATAGCATATTATCATTATCATATATCAATATCATTATCATTATTCATTATCAATCATTATATTATCATTATTATCATTATCATTATCAGTTATCATATCATTATCAATATCAATTAACATCATCCTCACAACCACTAAATATCCACATCTGATCTAAACCCGCATAAGAGCTCCTGGAATTGCAAACCCGGAATGAACCGACAAACCCCTTCAGATCCGCAGGCCGAAGGGTCGACAGAGTTTATTCGGCGACACGCTGGACGACCTCGTACTCCTCGACATGCTGACCGAGATCCGCGCCCAGAGGAGGAGTCGTCACATGATGGGGTCGAATGATAACGACTTCCGGCCTGAGGAGAACACG